CCTCCCGGATTAGAGGCCCAGCTGCGCGAGGAGCTGGCCCAGCGGCGACACCAAGCCGGCCGCGCCTCCGTACGTGCCTGCAAAACGTAGGAGTCACACAAATTAGTTTCTGGTGAAAGAACGAAGTGCAGGCAGACAAAGGCAAGGCGAGGGGGGGGGAGTGTACCCAGGCAGCTCTCGGGCGCGAGGGTCACGGTGTTGGGGAGGGAGCCGGCGGTCTGGCCCGGCGCAGAGCTGGTGCCCTGGTCCGTCGACGACTTGAGATAGCACCGGCCGCCCGACTGGGTGAACCCCTGACACCCCTTGGCCTGCCGGCACTTTGCGCAGCACTCCTGCGCCGAGCTCGACGCCACGCCGCCGCCGCCGGAGCTCGCCGGCAGATCGAAGCCCGCGTAGTCGGCGTCGGCCACGAAGCTGCAGTTGGGCGCCACGTCGCACGCGCAGCCCTTGAACCCGGCGCTGCACTCGCACACGCCGCCCTTACAGATTCCGTGCGGGCCGCACTCGACCCCTCTGCACGGCGAGTCGGCCGGCGGCACTGTGCACAGCTCGCCCGTGTAGCCCGCCATACATTTGCACTTGCGGCCGCCGGCCTCGGCCGACGCCGTGTCGCACTCGCCGTAGAAGCCGCAGTCCACGCCGAAGCAGGGCGTGTGGTCGAGCTTGACGCTGCAGTTGGCCGTGCCCCAGCCCGGCTGGCACAGGCACTGGCCCCGCATGCCTCCCATGCACACGCCGTCGTTGAGGCACACGACGCCGTCGCAGGCGTGCAGGTCGGCGTCGGAGAGGCAGGAGAAGGTGACGACGAGCTGCTGGAGCTGGGCCGAGGGCCAGCCCACCGTGCCGTAGCCGGCCACCTCGGTCGGGTACCAGTAGTTGCCCTGGCCATGGCAGTTGGGCGACTCGGTGGTGTTGACGCAGTCCGAGCAGCAGTGGATGTTGCGCGTCCACGTGAACGAGCCGTTGGAGTAGTGCGCTGTTGTGGTGGGTTTGTGTTAGGCTGAACAGTAATAGAAAACAAAATGTAGGAAAAAAAAATGATGCAACAGCGCACCGGTTACATCGAGGCCGGCGGTGAAGCCGTCGATGTTGCTGATGTCCAAGAAGAGCGTGTCGCCGGAGAGACCACCCTCGAACAACGAAACCGCGCGACATTCGCCCGACTGATCGGTATCGGCGAGGGTGAGTGGGTGAGGGGGTGAGTGGCGACAACAACGCTCGCTGGACGAATCAAATGACAACAAACAATAAATAAACCGATCGAACCGTGGTGAGGGCGGCGGAGCGGTCGCCGGTGCCGTCGGTGGGAATGGTGTAGGTGAGGCCTTCCGCCGGAAAGACCACATCGCAGTTCGACTTGACGAGGGTCTGCTCCAGGAACTTGAACTGGCCGGGACAGTCCTGTTTCATCGGGTAATATTGTCGTTAATGTTGTCACTCTAAAATGCTCTGTGTGGACGTACATTTTTCAGAACATATTGGTACTCGGACAGGCAAATAGTGGCTTGAAGGGCGAGCACGAGTAGAAAGATGGAAGCAACAGCCGCTCGTGACATGCTTGTGTTGGGTGGGTTGGAGCTGAGATAAATGGGACTATGTTCTATCAGGGCGATAATGGTTTTATAAGCCCCCAAGGCAGCCTATTGGCCGACACAGGAGCCAATCGAGAAACTCACTCATTTTGCTGTCGCCGGGAGGAGATGAGAAGTTGTACATTTTGCAAAATGTTGATGACCGTCGCAATATGAACGCAGTGCTGGGAGTGGTGGAAAGGAAAAATCAAGCGTCGCGCGATAACCCGGTTGTCTCACGCCAACATCACAATGGAGTGATCAAGCTTCAACGTTGTTGAGAGCTCTCCTCTGGAAGAAGAAAAAGTTCTGTAATGTAATAATTTTGTTGCTCGCAAGGGCTGTGTGGGTGTCCTAGAGTAAGGGCACGATGAGTTCACTTCTCGCGCTCCTTCTTGACCGAGGCGAACTCGACCACCTTGGCCTTGAGCCCCTCCACGCGTTCCTGTGGTGCGTGATGGGTGTTAGAAGGGGAAGATCGTGGAAGGGGAGCGAGAGGACGTACGGCCTCGATGGGTTCGCCCTTCTTCAGCAGCTCGGACAGCTGGGTGAGCTCCTCCACGAGATCGGCCGGCAGGTGGTCCGCCATCTGCGCCAACAGAGCGGGGACGCTGCGGCCTGTCGGCGCCAACCAACGGTCAATACCACAACATGGCCACACACACACACACACACACACACACACACACACACACACACACACACACGACAAAGCTGGAGTGGGGTGGTGCGGTGCGTACCGGGGATGTGGAGGGCGAGGTTGAAGACCTGCGCGTAGAGGACGACGGCGGCGAGGTGGAACGCGAGCGGTGGCTCGGTGACCTCCTTGAGCTGCTCCAGGAAGTCCAGCTTGTGGGTGTGGGTGAGCAGCCGCTGCTTCTTCTTGTCCAACGGCTTCAGATGCAACTGGGCCTCCTCCGACAGGCTCTCCAGCTGCTTCAGGAACTCCTCAACGCCCTGTACCCATCATATCTCTTAGTTGTGCGTGTCGTGTGTCGTGCGTGTCGTGCGTGTGCGGTGGTGCGTGTGTCGTGTTGCGCGAGGAACGTACGGATCCGCGGAGGGAGTCGCCTAGAGCTGCAAGCGGGGTGGCGGCGGTGAGAGGCAGCTGCGCGATCACCTCCTTGCGCTCGTTGGCTGTCGTGATCTTTTCGGCCTCCATCGACACGCCGTGATGCAGGGCCATCATGTACACCAGCAGGTTGGTAGCCTGACAGGCCATGCAACACACACACACACACACGCACGCACGCACGCACGCACACGACCAACGACGCACGACCAACGACACACCAAACACAGAAGTGGGCTCAGTGTTGCTGATCTCATCGAAGAAAATGAGTCGCGAAAGCGGCGAGAGCGAGGCAGTGTGGTACCTCCGTGCACAATGTGGCGAGCAGGTGTCGCCGCAGGGCTTCGCTGACGGCCGAATCTGAAGAGAAGAGAAGAGAAGAGAAGGTGTGAGCGTTTTCTAAAGGGTCTAAGGGAGAGAGATTCTGCGTACGTACCGGTGACCTCCTCGGCCGAGCGGAGGAAGAGCTGGATGTTCTGGTAGAGCACGCTGAACTGCTGCTCGAGCGCCTTGTGGTCCTTCTTCTTGCCCGACGACGCGTTCTGCTGGATGCTTTCCACCGCCGCCTGGTGCCCAAAAGAAAATCAGAAAATGTAATTATATATAAATAATTACAAACGAATTAATATAAATATAAATAATGAAAAGGGCGTACTTTGTTGAGTTCGCGCACGATGGGGCGAATCTGCTGGTAGATGACGTCCAGGAAGTCGGCCTCGGCCTCCTCGTACCACTGCTTGAGGCACGCGCGCACCTCGGCCTCGGTCAGGACCTCCTGCTGCACGCCGCCCGCCGCCCGCGACTTGGCCGAAGCCGCCGCCGCTGCCGCATTCCTGCCGCGCGCGGACGGCCGCTCCACCACCTTCTCCTCCTCTTCCTCCTCGTCTTCGTCGTCGTCGCGGCCCTTGCCCCGTCGTTTGCCCTTCTGGTTGCCGCCCCTCCCTCCCTTGCCTCCGCCGCCGCTGGCGGCGGCTTTGCCGCCCTTGCCGCCCTTGCCTCCTCGGCCCTTTCCCTTCGTCTCCTCTGCGCGTGTCGTGCCGTTGGGCGTGTGCGTGTGCGTGCGGTGCGTGTCGTGTCGTGCGGTGAGTGCCATGTGCGTGTGCTGTGTGTGCGGTCGAATGAATACCTTCTTCGTCGGCGGCTGCGGGCTTAGACGCGGGGATGTGCTTCCCTAGCGCTTGGATGATGAGGGGCGCCTTCTTGGGCGTCTCGGTGGTGACCTTGTCCTTGAGCGAGGCCACGCAGCGCTCGAGCAGCCCGCGGCTCACCAGGTAGTGGTCGTCGAGAATGACCGGGCTCTCCTTCTTCTCCTGCGAGGCGGCGATGAACGACGGGCAGGACTTGAGCAGGACCATAGCGTCCTTGGCCGACAGCTGGAACTCGACGAGCGGCTGTTGGCCAATAGCACACATACCAAGCGTTAGTGGTGGAATGTGAGGAATGCAACCAGAACAGCGAAGGGGTTGGCGGCGTGCCATGACGTCGAGCCAGGCGTTGTTGGCGAGGGCGTCGGAGACCGAGGCGTCGACCTGCTGGATGACCGAGCTGGCGACGAAGCAGGTCTCCAGCGGGAGGCCCTCGGGGAAGTTGACCAGCAGATACTTTCTGGGCTCCGGAATGTTGATCTTCGACAGCTTGTTGTACTCTGTGCACATTCCACACATTAGACGCGCAACCACAAACGAGGCGTGTGTGGGCGGGCGGGCGGGCGGGCGCGGTGGTGCGTGTGCACACTGGATGGGACGCGTACCGATGAAGCCGTTCTGGGAGAGGAAGGACTCGATCCACTTCTTGCGGGTGTACGAGTAGATGTGCGGCACGTACGTGCCCCTGTCAATGACGCCCGCGAAGCGCGGCTCGTTCTTGATCTCGTCCAGCGACGCTTGAATTTGTTATTACCACACGTCAGTTTCGTTCCATTGCGCCCAACTTCTTTCAAGTTGTGTTTAACTGAAATTGTGAACGACTTACCATAGAACAGGCGCTCGTTGAACGAATAGGTCGACACAATCTGCGAGATCGGCGTGGGCCTGCAGGAGACCGGTCGAGGGAGTGCGAGTGTGCGCCGAAATGGTCAGTGTGCGCGCAGGCCCAGGCTGCAGAGTGTGCGCGTACCGTGTGATGGCTGAGAATGCGGCACGCATCTGGGCCTTGCAGCGGTCGATGAAGAGGTGGGTGTAGAGCACGCCTGCTC